GCTGGCTGGCGAGAAGCGCGTACGCATTGAGGCCTTCCCAGGATATGCTTAGCGTCCGTTGCCCATGCTTTCGTGGGTCGGGACTGGCGATCACGAATGTCGGTAGCTGATTGTTGAAGCGAGTGGCGAATAGATCTACTAGCGGAGCTCCTATTTGCTTGATAATCTGTGCAAAAATTTCTGTATGGAGCATCCATTCTGTCGGTGACGGTAGATGTGGCGAGAGAGTCGTCTGCTAGTACATTCTTGGCTCGGGAATGTGACATGCTCTGACATGTAAGTTGAGATCGTCGATTAGATCGAACAGTTGAAAGCTTATAAAGTCAATAGGTTCAGTGATCTCGTTGAGCCTTGTTTGTTCACATAAAAGCGCCACTGTCGAGTTGTCGGTATGAATCATCAGATCGCCTTTTGTAGAATGGTGCTCCAATGAAGTATGGCGTTGATTACGCTTTCATCTCTAACATGTTTATATGGAGCTTGCTTTCTTGCTGATTCCATAACCCTGAAGCCGTCCGGTTGGCGAGATGAGCTCCCCAACCTTGGGCGGCAGCGTCTACATATAGATGGGTTTTGAATTCGGCTCTGTTAAACAAATGCCGCCGCCATGAACATTCGACCTCCTGGTCCACCATAGTAGATGAGGTCTGAGGTGTTTGGTAGACTGAATGGTTGTAGGTCGTCGAGATGAGCATTGATGAAGACCTGTAGCGGACGTAACTGTAGTCTGCCTCTGACTGTCATGTCTTGGGCTGGCGTGAGGAGACCCAACAGGCTCTGCCAATGTCGTAGTGGTAGCGGAGAGTAGGAGCTAGAGGAATGGTCTGTTGGATCTTGAGCCATCGGTCTTCTGAATACGACGATACGGTTGAGAGTCGTGATAAATCGAATGCCTAGAAATTGCAGATCTTGCGAGGGTACTAGGTCCGACTTGAGTAAATTTACTAACCATCCTAGCTGTGTTAGTAGCTTGATGATGTAGTTTAACTGTAGTTTGAGACGCTGTGGATCTTGATCTACTTGTATCCCGTCGTCGAGGTAGAACGCACTGCGTAGCCCTAGACGATGTAGATAGGTGACGATAGGTTTCGTTATTCTTGTGAATAACCAGGGGGCCGATGATATTCCGAATGGGAGTACTTTCCATTGGTAATGCAGCCCGTCTAGTGTAAATCGTAGGTATTTCCTGGATTCGGGATGTATCGGGATGTGTAGATAGGCGTCTTGCAGATCTATACTGGCCATGTAATCCATGGGACGAATTAACTGCCGTAATTGAGGTAGATGTATCATGCGAAACGTTGGCGGTTTGCGTAGATAATCTCTGTTGAATATGCTCATGTTGTAAATGAGTCTGTATTTCTCCTTGGAGTTTTTCTTGGGTACTAGGAAAACTGGGGAGTAGAAGCCTGGTTCGACGTTTACTTGATCTAGTACTTCTATGGCCTGCTTGGTTAGGAGAGATGTAACAGCCTCTCTTAACTTTGGTAGTTGTTGTGCCTGGAAGTCGAACTTGTGAGGGTTGACTGTCAGCGGAGGCGTGGCCTGTAGTGGGATACGATATCCGTGTTGAAGAATGTTGGAGACATAAGGGTCTTGTAACATTCCCCAGTTCTCCCAGTGCAGTTGAAGGCGTCCACCCACTTGTGACGGTTGTACTGGAACGGCTGGGGGGTGGAAGACTCCAGTCGTTCCGAACCTGTCTTTCATCGTTTATAGTTGCGGGAACCTCTGGGTGCCCTGCCTCTTCCTGATCCTCCTCTGTAGTTGCCATATGGGCGACGAAAAGAATCTTTTCCCCTGGAGCTGGCCATCTTCCTATCCCGTGCTCTCTGTAATCCAGTGAATTTAGATTTCCCTGAATATCTTTGTGAAGTCTGCCTGATGACGCTGGCTAGCGTGTCCATCGACTTTATCATAAGGACTTCTCTAGAATCCTTAGTGACTTCCTTGGAGACTTTCTCTATCCCTCCGTCAAAGATGGATGGTGAGGACCACGGGGCTGTATAGAGTGGAGCTGTAAACTGCTCACCCCAGCTGCAGGAAGCGAGGAGGCCTTGACGACGAGCTAAGGTTAGCGCTGCTGAGACTGATGTGAGATGATCCGTTAGGAACTGCTGGTCCTTCTTTTGCATAAGTAGGGCCGAGTAGATCATTCTATCATCTTCAGAAGTCGTGTCACGAAATCTGGTGATAAGAGTCTCATTGATCGTTCTAGATCTATTAAGGCCAAAGAACATACGCCTCGTCATGGTTTCTATCTGAACCAGCTTGCGATCGTCAATCTTATAGTTCTTATTCTTGACATCGTTGATCATTTTGTAATTATCATCGATGTCTTGTGCCTTGAGGAAGGGGTCCATATTATGAGTTGAAAACTTCTTAGCGTGAAAGTGCGGTAAGTGTGGCGTTTGAACTTTCGTGGCTTTATGGAAGGCTGTGTCCAAATTCTGTGGCACCGCAGCAATCGGGTCGATCGGAGGTAAGGTGATGGCGTCTGCATCGTCCTCCTTCATCAGGTAAGTATGCGCCGAGTTACCACTCTTGGAAGGTGAAGAAAGGTCTAGGTTGTTAACCATCCAATAACGTATCTCAGCGTCTGAGAAAATGATGCCTCCATCATCTTCTACCACGGGATCGCTGATAAGAGGTTGATGCTCTTCTGATGGTGGACTATGTGCTTCTACCACTGTACAGGGTGACGTTAAAGGAGACCTGACTGTGGACTTCTGTGAAGACTTGTGTGGTGACCTGCGAGGAGATCGACGTGGTGATGTACGAGGAGATCGGCCGCGGTGAACGGCGAGGTGATCGGCATGGAGAATGGCGAGGGGATCGTCTTGGTGAACGGCCTGACGATCTGCGTCTAAAGGTTGACCTTCGCGGAGATCTGTGAGGTGAATGTTGATAGCTCCGTGAAGCTCTTGTGGAATCCCTCGATGTCCTTCTGGGCGAAGATGATTTAGAGCCTGATAATGGTGCCCCAGCGAAGGCCTTCCGAAGCTTCCTCTGCGTCGGTCCTGGGGAGCGGCGACTTGACCTTCGCGAAGGCTTTCGTGAAGTCTGGTGGTCGAGTCCGAATCTAAGGATGAAGCCGAGGTAGGTGATGATCTATCAAGCCTTCGCGAAGCCTTCGCGAAGGCTGTACATCTGGGTCCTTCGTCGAGGTGGTCTGTGACTTCCTTCGCGAAGGTGGCTTCGTCGTGGCCGCTACGTTGACGGGGGGTCCCTCTGGGGTGTCGTCTACGTTGGAGCCTTCGCGAAGGCTCAGGTCCTGGGCTGGTTGTCTCTCCAGTCTGTAGTGGTCCTCCATCATCTTCATGATTTGCCGCATCAGGTCGTCTGGGACGGTCTGCGACGATGTAGTCGGTGCCCTCTCTGCGATGTTAGCGACGGGGCCCTCAGGAAGATCGTCCGACATCGGTGTAGACACATCAGGCTGCATGGCGATCTGTGCTGACGTCACTGTTGCCGACACCGGTCGTCTCTTGTGGCGTAGATCGGGGATGATGATCGGCTGATCATCGTAGAGGCCCAGTTCAGCGGCTGGAACAATCTCGGCTGAGAAGGTTCTTGACGACTTCGTAGACTTTCCCTTGGAGGTAGACGCTGCCCTGGGGGTACGGAGTCTGCGTTGAGTAGATGTCGAGGCCCTCTTAGACTTGGTGGCTGCGATGGCGGGATGTCTGGGGAAGCAGGGCGCTTCTTGGAGGCGGCGGACTGCATCCCACGCCCCTCCTCGAGGGAAACTCTAGCGGAACACCAGACGGGAGGGGGTCGTCCGACAGCAGCTGACTGGCTAGGGGTTCCGATGTATCGGCCATGTCTAACCCTTGTTTGCGTGACCTATCTGCTGCGTCTCAAAGGCATAAAGATGATATTTATTAAAAGCAGAATTAGATAGATTAATACAGTAACTGCAAGCGTGAATCAAGCGCACAAAGGCGAAGTAGTACAGCTAGGGCATATTACATGCGGGTCAGCAGCAGAAAAACGTAATCTACAAATAGTACAGATTTTCATCAACGTAAACTAGCTGAACAATCACGAATTCCCGTGAATAAACAGTAGAAATACGAATAATTATCAATACATATTAATGAAGGATACTAGCTACACCTCTATAGTAACCTATAGGAGGTAACTAACTAAGAATAACCAAAGGATATAGTGTGTAAGGAGACACAGGCGCTCTCACATCCTGCTCACTGGGCGAAGAAGGAGAGAGTGAAGCATGAGGCCAGAAGGTGGCGCCGCCTTTCCCGCGCAAAGGCAAAGGGAGGCAACTCTTGGTGAGTACTAATTAGTGATTTTACATTGAAGGGAGCTTCAATTAAGGAGATACAAGTGTTCCACTATGTTCGCAAGAAGAAGAAGACAAGCAAAAGAGCATGAGTCAGGATAAGGAAAAAACCAAACTTGACCTAAAATCAGTGTCAAAATGGTATGTTTCGGTGCATATTAGTTTATAGAGCAAAAACTGTAACTAAAATTACACAATGCTAGGATATATTTCTTTGGGTTAAATAGTAGTATCCTGTATTATATTTTACTGATGACTGCGTCAGAAATCGTCCCGTTATATTATCTGTGAATGTTTGAACTTGATCGCCGGGAAACGTGCACAGCTGATTGCTATTTCCGGCTCAGATACACACGGTAATCTTAATCCCTGCAAATAATACAATGCCCAGCAAAAACAAATTAGAACTTAAAAGGTAAATAATCTTGTCTAGTGATGTTTAATTGCAAATTAACCCATGGATAAGACGACCACCTTCTACAGACTGCTTTTTTTGGTCCTCAAAATTCGGCTTATAGACGGTCATATACGGTAAGCATGCTGCTATGAATGCTGTGCTTGCTGTTTGACAGAAGCCTCCAATCAGACTGTATGATCAGAGTTATGTGACGAGACCTCCTATAAAGTATCAAACTGAAATGATACATGTAATAAATGAAAATGGCTATGTGAAAAATTTGGTTACTGAACAACTTACCTATGCTGCTTGCAAGGGCTCCTCCACTCTCTTTGGTGTCTGTGGCATTGAGTGTCTGCAATATTGAAGCAAAGATTTAAGGAACAGGAGAAATTGTCTTTGGAAGGCATTAGAACTCGGAAAAACATTTTAAAACTTTCTTCATACCTCAAATACTGTAACCTTTTGAAGCATTCTTCCTTACAAATTAGGCTGACAATCAAACTTATGTTAAATACAGTAGCAAGCAAAGTTGCAAATATAGTCCATTGTTCCTACAATAAGTCTGAGAATCCGTTTATATTTATGTAGGCCTATTTACAATGTTTACTTGTCATACAGATAACTAACGATGAAACCGAATTGTAAAAGTAATTAGTTTAAACATATTTTATTCACAATGTGAAAAGGATCGGGGACAAGTTCTTTCAACTTATTAAACCCCTCTCCAAAGATATTTACAATAACTAATTTCATCACAAGCAATTATTAGAAACAGAGACAGAGAAAGACTGAAAGATAACAGGGGGAAATGCCATAATACAAAAGGTGTATAGAGAGAAGGCTACTGGAATCGTTTAGATTTGCATATATATTGATGTACATTTTTAAATATAATTTCATTTTTATGATTTGTCAGATCTGCAATGCCGTTTAAAATAACAGATAATGTAATCACAGAATTACTACCACATACATCTTGAATAGCATTAAGCATGATCTTTCTATGTTGATTGTATAAAGAACATTCTAAGAAATAGTGATGAGCATTTTCGCATGGGTTTCCACATGTACAGATCGTAACTTAAACTACTAGCTTCATGACGTAGTTGAGTATGTAATATGTTAAATTTTCTAATACCATAAGAAAAGTACAGTGGAGCTGAATTATATGATGTTATTATGCTCAATTTAAACTTTGATAGTGAAGTACAGTTTCTTACATCTGTAGGTAAATTGTTCCACAATCTTATAGTTGATGGGAAGAACGACTCATGAGAATGTTTTATTCTTGTTCTTGGCAAGCAGATATTGCCTGAATTTCTTAGATTATATTGACTCCTGGAGCCCACGTACTGAGGAATTATTTCTTTTAGGTAGATTAGACTTTTGTTGTTTTGAACATTGTAGAACAAAGACAATTTTCTTAATCTTCTACCCTCTGATCGTGCTTCCATGCCTGTTCATAATATAGTGAATTAAAAGAAGAATATTTGGGAAGTCCTGTAATAATTCTTGCAGCTTCCATCTGGAGCCTTTCCAATTTTAGAGTTAGTTCTTTTCCGCAGCCACTGATCCTTGTGGGATGCCAGCTTGGAGTAACCTTGGTTTAGACAGGGCTCCATTAACAAAGACCTTTTGATAGTGATTACACATGTAATTACAATAACTCTAACAATCTACCTTTAATACCATACATTTCCAATTTATGTATATGCCCTCTGTGCCAAACACGATCAAAAGCCTTCGAAACATCACAAAAGACCATACAATATTGGTCCTTATCATCTAGAGCTTGGCATATTTGATGATATATTTCAATTAATTGATGGACAGGTGAACTCCCAGCTTGAAAACCAGCTTGGTATTTGTACAATAACTAGTTCTCGTTTAAATAGTTAGATACATGCTTGAATACAACTCTCTCAAACAGTTTACCGACACAACTTATAAGAGTTATCGGTCTGTAGTTTGATGCTTTAGTTTTGTCACCTTTCTGGAATAAAGGCATTACATGTGCTAATTTCCATTCTGATGGATACACACCTTTTCGTAATGACAATTCAAAAAGCAAACATAATGGCGCACTTATTGAATGAGCAGTTTCTTTTAAAAGCTTATAGCCTATTCTGTCGGGACCCGCAGCTTTATTCAGTGGCAAACATTTAATTATATCTGTAATTTCTTGTTTAGTCACTGTAATAAATGCTAAAGTGGATTTTGTACATCTATCAAATTGAGGAGGGGCCATATTCTCGTCATTTACACAGGAGATCGAGGCAAAGTAGTTATTTAAAAATTCAGCTTTATCAATATCTGAGAAAAGCGACAGGTCATCATCATTAGGATATTGTTTGAGAGGGGGAATGCTAGTTGCTGTACCTGAATGTTTTACAACATATCGCAGCATTTTCCAGCAGGAGGGTGTATTTTTAAAGTGTAATTCAGAGATAAAATCATCAAGATTGGAATAAAAATTCTCTTTTGCGAGGTATTTCATATTGTTAACTTTATTTCTCTGTTTCTTATACAATGGAATATCTCTTTCACGGTCAGTTCTTTTTGCTTTCTTTCTCATTCTATCCTGTTTTCTGCATTCCCGTCTCAACTCAGTATCGAACCAAGGCTTATCACCAGGATGAATCGTTACAGTTTTAGAATGTACACATGAACTAACATATCCTATGAAAACATCGTGAAAGACTTTACATGCATCATCAACACATTCACAAGTAATTTAGGCAATTAGCAATAAGACATTTTCATTTTGAACATATTTTACAGTAAAAAAACCCGGTTCCTTATATATCATAATCATAAAAGGAAAGGGAGCCCAGAGACTTTTTGGAACCCTACTATTCTAGACTTGCCATATATAGTAGACTTGCATTGGCTTTCTTATATATCTATATATTTGTTTCAGGGTTTGTATCACAGAATAACTTTGGTCTTATTAGCCACCTCGGGTATCAAGAAAGACATATGCATAAAATCTGAAATACTAACAGAAAGTGTAGGGGCTAGTTCCATTGAAAACTTATCCTGAGTTTCTTACAGCTGTGATGTTGTCATTCAAGGAGATAGTGCATGTCTTCAGCAGATAATAAAGTAGCTGACACTTAACCATTAACCCCTTCAATCAGTGGGCATCAGATTCAGTAAAATTGTAAATAGTCACAACGGCTTACAAAATATTTCTTATGTGTAGAATTAACTGTCAAGAACAAGATAAATGCAAGAGTTTCAATATGCTATCAACAACATGATTGTTTTAATTCAAACAGTAAAGGTAAGAACGTTTGTCTTGTGTTATGACAAGTCAGTGGGTTATTATCACTCTGTACATTACTGACTTACTCTTAACTATTTCATTACTAAAACCAAATCACCTGTAACGGCAAAGGTGTTAAAAGTAGTGAAATTTGGTCACAAACACAAACACCTGAGCAACCAGACAGTTTGTGAGTGGGTGATATCATTTCTACAAGAGGCAAGTATCTCAGGGCTGTCAAAAAAAAGGGAACAGGGGTATGACATGTTGGTCCATGCATACCACAAATCATCTTATCAAAGGCAGAACCATCAAAATCAAAGTCATAAGATACCTGTGGGAAAAGGGGATTATCAATATCATGCTATAAGCTGGATCACATCCAAGATTTCTGCCAAGTTGTGATATAATACTTATATTCAAAGAAGCTGATGACCATGAGTTTGTTGCAGAACAGTTAATGCCAGCATTGTCTGACAAATGTGTCATTGTTATGGATAATGCACCACACCATAGCTACATAAGTTCAGGGGAAAAATGCTATGATGTAATAAAGGTAGTCTATTCGAAGGAATTCTTGTGAAATTCAGAATTGTACCACATACGTCAAAAATCGTTCTCGTGACTGTTTGAAATGCCAGTTCAACAGCCTCCATTTTTGAAGCAGTTATCTTGATGGCACCAACTGTGGATGTTGATGATCTGTCAACCTTTTCTGGACTCTGGTGTGATGTCCCAAAGCCTTGAAACACTGAAAGGTGCACATGATTGTAAAATAAAAGAACAAAGACAAATTCAAAGTAGATACAGTTCACAATGCGGATAAAAATACAGTAGAGTCATTAGTTCTCATACATTCAACAATAAAAAAAATGTATGATGGATTACACACAGAATATCAATCTTACCATTTACTTTCATAAGAGCACTCAACATGATGTGACTTGACATATTACAACCTAACATAATTGTTTGGGGTGTTTATGTTCAGAAGATAAATAAAGATAAGTATTCAGTGCTTAGAAAGATTTGGTGATGAAGTGAACTTAGGAGTAAGCAGAATATTTCGTTTTACAAGAATTGTTGAAACTAGGTCATTAGACAACTGCAAAAGATAAATTCACCTAAACAAAACTCAAAATTCATTCTTCATTTCATTCAGACTTCTCTTAATAAACACATGCTCTTCCTTTGCAAGCATGAACAGGCAGATATGTAAACACTTACAACACCTGAACCAGTTCGATTCAGACTGCTGAGAAAACTCCTTAAAAAGTGATTCTGACGGCACTACAATAGTCATTGTGTGCAGATTGCCATCAAGCTTCTTTGTGTCTTTGAGACAGGTGACCAATTGTGATGCAAAACCTTTCTGGCCTGTAAGCATAAAAGTAGTGCCAGGTGCAAACAACATCTTCAGAAAATTTCACTAAACATCTGCAAATTAAATCTTTCAAGGGCATTTAGAAGTGGAATACATGAAAAAAGCAAGATTTAGGATATCAGCTTCTCTATTGTGAACAACAAGACGTTTCGGAGCGTATTATTCATGTATAGAAGCTGATATCCATAAATCTTGCTTTTCTTACACATCTGTACTTAAACTTATTTTCTTGGAACCTTGAAAAGGTTTATCAGCTTCTGTTTTAGCCTGATCTCAGTGAATCATTATATGCAAGTCTTGTCAATGCTGAAATCTGTGTGCATGTAAACATGCCGCATCACAAATAGTCGTAGTGTAATGTAGCTCATCTGGATATCTAGTCAATAGAGCTAAATGTCAACAACAATCACTTGTCAGATTAAACAATATATTCATCATAAATACTAAAGTTATCATGTGCACAAGCTTTGTTAAGACCTAGTTAATGCAGAGTGACCTTGATTTTCAATGTCATTCTATCATATGTAAAAATCAATGTCAAAATTTCAATAAAGGGTATTGTGAGCAGTGAGATCAGCTTTGCATCACCAATGCATCAAGGTTATCAAATGTGCATGGAAGGCTTGTGGAATGGCATGATATATTTTTTGTAGTTCTGCTGTCAAATCATTTATGCTGTCTTGGGGATTTGGATACATGGCATACACAAAGTTCCATTAGAGAATAGTTTCTGTGAATTTGCAGGCCAAGGCAGTACTTGAACATTGCGCTGTTTCAGAAGAGCCATTGCAACCCTAAATGGATATGGTTTTATAATGTTGGAATGTCAATCCTGGGAATATGCCGAAGTGCTGGAAAGGTCTGAGCAGCAGTAGCTCCAGTCTGGGACCTGTATCAGAGATTGGTCTCCCATATCCATCTGTCCTGTCTTGGCATTGTGTCAGGTGGGCAATCAGAAACTTCATTATCGTTCTGCTGACATCTCAAAAGTGCTGAAATGGTATTTCAGTAGCAATATGGAATTGCTATGCCACCTGATGTCGAGACATTATCCAATGGACCAACCAAAATCGCCTCATTTGTGTATTTGTGAGTCGTGGCATGATATGTGGTTCATTAGCCCTTTAAATTCTTAAAAATCAAACATTACTAAACAAGTGTTTGCCACTGATGGAATATCCATATTTACTACTTTTTATTTTTTGGTCACAAACAAGATGCCAGAAATGACTCGTGTTTGCATAATCACCCAATGTAGGCTGTCAACATAATTGAAAACATTGGGTGCAATATTTGATGAGATATCGTGTTTAAATAAGTTTGAAAAGTGGTGAAAGGGTCGGAGTGACCTTGAAGATAAGGTCAAGGTCCCCCAAATAAACTGGTGTCTGTGTATCCCCCAATGTAGGCTGTCACCAAATTTGAAGACATTGGGTACAACAGTCCATGAGATATCGCGTTAACAAGAGTTAAAAGTGTGCAAAGGGTCGTGGTGACCCTAAAGATAAGGTCAAGGTCACCCAAATCAACTGGTGTCTGCGTAATCCCCAAATGCAGGCTTTCACCAAATTTGAAGACACTGGGTACAACATTCCATGAGATATCGCGTTAACAAGAGTTTGAAAAGTGGTCAAAGTGTCGTGGTGACCTTGAATGTAAGGTCAAGGTCACCCCAATCGACTAGTGTCTGTGTAATCCCCCAATGTAGGCTGTCACCAAATTTGAATACATTGGGTACAACAGTTCATGAGATATCGCGTTAACAAGAATCGAGACATACGCTGCTGAAAACATAGTCCCCCGTTCCGCGTTGCGACGGGGGACAATTAAGGAAATTGGCAGCAGTTTCTTACACACAAGTTCTCCATGCAATTTATCAAAATGCAACACAAAAGCGTTGCATGTTCTCATTCAAAAACCACTGATGTCACCAAAAGAGTGAGTGAGTATGGTTTTACGCCGCTTTTAGCAATATTCCAGCAATATCACGGCAGGGGACACCAGAAATGGGCTTCACACATTGTACCCATGTGGGGAATCGAACCCGGGTCATCGGCATGACGAGCGAACGCTTTAACCACCAGGCTACCCCACCACCCTGTCACCAAAAGAAAGTTCTTAAAGATGGAGATGGAGTAGGGCCGAGAAAAGGGAGATACCTTTCAGCAGCAAAACAACTTGGTTTGCTTGAATATATGTGTGAGACACTTATATTTTGGTTGGAAATGAAATGAAAAATATAAGTTAGCAGTCCATAAGCAGGATAATACACCATTTTGCTAATACACAATATTGTGTAATGACTTTATCACATAAATTAATTTTATTTGACAATGTATAGTAGAGCAGTTCGACCTTACAAAATAGTAAGTCTTTTGTTTGGGATAACCATATTCTAATGTAGTCGATACAGATGGAACTTACTGGGAAACACTCAACATACTTTGATCTTCTACATTGGAGAAGGATCCTCTATACAACCGAGTTCATGTCCAGATTGTTCTTATGGCAACAACAAACAAAAAGATTGAATAGCAATAGGTACCAGTTCACCATCTCATTAACATATCTGTAAAGTCTACAGAACATTCAACAACAGATTTTGAGTTTGCCCTCAGAAACAAACCATGCACCAAACTGATTCTGAAGTCCCAAAAAATAATTAATAAATAAATTAGCAAAGGCACCAGATCACCAACTGACTGAAATTATTTCAAAGTTTAATGAGCAAACAATGGACAGATTTAAAAAACAAACCATATTTCCAACTGAGTTTAAGCCCAGTGTTTTTCACCAAATCTGAAAAAAAAATAACCCCCCAAAATAAATATCCCTAAATAGAAAGGAAGTAGTTTCCCACCTGAATGATGCATGTGTAACTTGAAACGTTATATGAAAAAGAAGGTATTAGACAAAATCGGAAATCATCACTCAGAGAAACATATTACTGCAATTTAATCATATGTTTGGTTAAATCACTCTCCAGAAAATATCCTGTCATAGTAGTGGTAGTTACAGGTCATTGGCTCCCTCCCTCTGCAAGCCGTCTACGTTCTGCTGTTTATTTTGTTGACAGTTACATAGACGGATTCTTTAATACAAATGCATAAAATCGGTGATTTACAATGTGATTAGGTTGTCTGACAAAACATCCACTTGCACAGTTTGAGATCGATTGGATCATTGGACGATGAGATATTTACAAAAAAACGGGTCCACATGCATTTCATGCCAAACTATAGTGAAGGCTCTGGACTCTGGCAACATCAATAAGAGATGATATCCATGTTAGAGTTGTGTTTGTAAGGGACATACATTATTGTTATTACATAATACTTATCTTTCAAATGGAAACATATTTACCAGTGGAAGGTATGAAGACTTGAAGACTAGCAAGAGCCTTCTTCTTCAAAATCTTCTTAAAGGATTCCCAGAATTTCTGTTCGTTGTAGACCAAAACAGTCAAAGGACACATACCGAGTGCATGGGTAGTTATTCTGGTAGTCTTGCTGTGATGTAATTCATGTTTCACTGAAAGAAATTGAAACCAAACAAACATAATCTTGAGACAAAATTCTCAGAGATCACCCATTTCAGTACATTTTCATTGTACATTACATGCAAGGACATTTTCCACTTTCTCCTGAATGACCCTAAACTGTGCCTCAAGCCTCTTGTTAACAACTTTAACACAAAAGTCCTATGCCTCTAATTTCCTTTTTCTATATCATAAATTCATGTCTGATGTTAGCAAAATATGACACAGTGTGAGATTATCATCTAACACAAGTATTCAAACGAGAGATTGAATCACAGGATCCATGAAAAAGGTATGATGTGAAAATGGCAAACATTAACTACTGAATAAAGTAACTGTGCATTATTTGATGTTATGTCATTTGTTGTTGCCTAAAGATAAAAACATGATTTGTGGTGTTTTTCTTAATCACTGTTTAACTGTTGACACGATAATTTCAAAATCTGTATGATTTGACAAAAGGCATCGTAACATGCCATTGAAGAGATGTGGTGTCAAAAGTCATTTCACAGATTCAGTATCGTCTTTGTCCACCATTGGCATCAACAGGCTTGACAATGACAATGCATAGCGATTGACGGCACTAAGCAATTGAAGAAAGCTCGGGGAATGTTGATCCATGTCTGAACCAATGCTAGTCCCAATTCAGCTAATGTCAATGGCTGATTGTGGGCATTTCATCATAAGCATGCCTGAAAGGGGACAGGTCCGGAGAAACAGCTAGCCAGGGTAGAACTGGAATGTTCTGCTGTCTCAGGAAATCTATCACAAAACAAGCGACATGTGAACAAGCATTCTACCATGAATCAAGAAAATACTAGATTCTGATTGGTTGTTCAGAAAAATCTGTGGGCATCAATTCAGGATTGACCATCATCTGATTGTAAGGCCGCTTCCCTGCGCATTAACAAGTCTTATTGTGAGAGCTACTTCCGTTTGACCACAATGATGGCGGATCATAACAACAACTCCATGGATTTTGATGCGGACTTTGGAATTTTCCACCTAGGCAATTGGAAAATTTTGGATTGAAAATGCGTTTGATTTCATTGCGCTTCACTGCGCACGTATACAACACTGCCGCACGACTTCAGCTTGACCACCAACATGACTAATGGAAATGCTCATAAAACATTTATTTAAACTCGAAAATACAATTATATGATTTTTCCTCCACAATTATGAGGGACCTCACTATCATATTACTTTCTATTATATTATTCAAACTCAATTACAATACACAGCCCCAAACATAAACAAACAATATTTAACATCTATACAACATGTGCAGCAAAACATTAGTAAACATTTATCTACCTGGTAAATGGTATATTTGTTTCCATTTAGAATGGGAAATTCGCAAGATAACGGTCTGGCGAAACACCACATTATACCACTCATACTCCATCATATCCCATTGCATTGTTCACAAAATAATTCTGCTCTCTGCCACCTTCCCCGCAAGGCTGTCACTGTTATGTTCGTATACTTTGAAAAATGCTTGGACACAATCCAGTCCCAAATGATGCAAACAATGTTCCAAGGAATCACAAGTTAGTCGCATGTACACTAAGCAGCAACACTGTCACTCTTTCGTCGCATGCCGTGGTGGAGGCACATACGTGAAATCATGATCGGCCGGTCATAAAAATCAACAGTCTTTGATGAGTTACAGGTCGTAGGTTGATCAGAAAAAGATCTATCCTTGATTATGCAGGGTTCAGATTCGACAGTCAGTCAAGTATTGTCCACTGTCACTTCAAATTTCAACCTTTCGCAAAATGTAAACACTGGCTCATCCGCCATTTCAAACTGTTGCATAACTGTCTACTTCGAAGAAAATAAGTAGGCCAGACGATTCCATTATAGTGGGGCCGGGGGGTACAGTAACACGACGCACAAAACAATAGGCTGGTTTCGGTCGTGTGGACCAAGCTCTGGGGTATTACATAATTGCATTGAATAAACAGTAGTTTGTTTTCTTTGGACAGAATATTTTTTATATTGTAATATTAAAAAAATATGAACGACACCTACCACTCCCTTCACACGAGTTCAATTTGCCTCTTGTCCCATGCCGGATTACCCAGTGTCTTCCGCAGAGCGAGGAAGTTCGAGTTTAAATGGGTCATAGTAGAATGGAGATAAACCTTGTGTGTTTGAAAATCAAACACACTAGGTTTATCTCCTAATTATCTTGCTGAGGTCAAGTTACATCACTGTCCATGAATGAACGGATGCACTTGAGGCCCAATAATCTCATCCCTGTATTACAGACCTGTCAGATTGCCAATGACAAGTTGTGTCTGACCATGAGATGTGATCTTCCACCATACCATAATGTTGCAGCCACCAAACTGTCAACATTGAACAAGGCACATGTCATCATACCATTCATCTCGCCATCTGTACACCCTTGCCCTGAACAAAACAACATCCCAATCTTGTCTCCTGTACTGTAGATGCTGTCTGCACCAGGCAAGGCGTGACTGTCGGTGAGGTTGGAGCAAAACTGGACGTATTGCAAGCTGTCAGGGCTGGATGTTGTGCTCCCTTTGTCAGTACTGTACAGTCCTGGAACTAATGTGATGTAAGCCAGGAATGATCCAAGCCGTTAAATTGGCAGTCTGGAATTGATTTCTTTGATGGGTCAGCGGAATGTGGTTGTCTTGTTGATGTGACGTCATGCGTGGATGGCCGGTCCAAGGCAAATCTCTTGTGTTCCGATTATGTTGAAAACGTTTCAATAGAGATGAGATCGTGTTTTGATAGACACCAAAATGTCTGGCCATTCCAGTCTCCAGCATTCCCACTGTGTGGAGATGCTTGCACAGTTTAGGTTGAATTTAACATGTTTTCCACAACATTCAGAGGCAAGAGAATAATCAACTGTTCTTCAATATTCAGTATCAGGTGTGTGAACTGCAGGTGTCACAAAAGCATGCAAAAGGTGAGTAAGTACACATGCTACTCTCGATATGTGAAATCACATTTAATGCAAAGTGCTTTGCTACTTGCTTACTTATGGTTATTTGTATATCTTCTCAAATAATTTATATTTTTGGTAATTTCATGATATGCAGTTACTTTTTTCCGCTGGTATACAAACCACCTTCACTTTACACATATATCACTTATAAAACATTTTCTGATCCATGTACAAAGTCTTTTCATGATCTACATAAAATCCTTCTCCAGTTATCATGAGCATAATACATTTTTGAAAATATAACCTTGAAATTGACATTCAACGTCAGCAACAAGAATATCATTAACATAATGAAGGACCGTCTGCAGTAGTTGATGTCATTAGTGAAATTCCCATCATCTCAGCAACATAAACATAATTACCATTCAATTTTCTGATGATTATTCAGAAATCTGCAACTATTCAAACAACATGTATAAGACATACCAATCAGTATTAACATTGCTGTCGATGGGATAGATTAAGTTGTACTTATGGTGCTTAATCAGGTGTCATTCGATAACAAATCACTTATGGCCAACTGCTGTACCTTTTAATGGAATATCAGGGCCCCTATTCTCGAAAGTGCCCCGCTAAGACAGATCCTAAGTAGTTAAGACAGAAGTTAGGATATCCTACCGTAAGGATAAGACCCATTCTCGAAACGATCCTATCATATCCTAACTTGTGCTGCCTATCCTAGCTAGGATAGCGAGCTCTTCAGTAAGTGAGATGGAAAAACCCTCATTAAGTTGGGGATTCCCCTAAATATTACCCATGATTCATTTCATAAAAACACATAATATGAGGAAATTCAGCTTTTGATGGACTTACTAGATCTAGAAGAAATTATTTGATATTTTCATCACATTATATAGTAGTTTTGAAGTTTTTGAAAATTCATTTTTTGACAAGGCAATAAGATTTCTACTTCAGAGTTCGAAAGTCTGCAAAAAAACCAATAAGGATATTAAAGATATGTGCAAAAAATATTTTCATTGTATTTGATTTTTTATGAAAATCATCATTTGAACTCTCATTATGCATCATCTCACAAACTGAAAACTTCACCTAGGAAATAAACAGGATCGGAGTTACTTGTCCTATCAAGTTGGCCTTGACATTGACATTTCACGGCAATGTGACTGGAAAGAGCAATGTTGTGATTAAAAAGGCTGAGAATAGGTAAGAACTGAACAAATCTCTTTTGTAGATCTAAAGAATATGTGCATCGCAACAAGTGCGTCTATTCATTATCGATAAATTGATAATATAAACTCAAAAAACTCTTCGTAACACATCAAAACTGTGTGCTCTTGTAAATTAGGATATCCTAGCGCGAGGATACTTTTCGAGAATAAGGTAGGACACCTATCCTAGACCCTAGGATCAAAGTTATGATATCCTAGGGCTAGGATCCTTTCGAGAATAGGGGCCCAGGTCCCTTCGTGAAATTCAACAGACTGTACAAGTAAAGAAACACTGCAATAAAGCACTAGACTGTTAAAATGCCAACTGACAGTCACTCAAGGTTGCTGCCACCATATTCATGTATATTCTAATATTTTCTGCATGCATACAGGAGACAGAAAATAACTATTACTAGTATCAAATTATTCTTAAAAATAAGACATCAGAAGGAGAAATACACATTCCAACTTGAAAGGGGGAAATACATGGTATGAACAACCTCCACTGAAACCTTGACCTTACACATAGGTCAGTACATATTCAGGGATGAGAATGGGTGTGAGTGAAAACAAAAACAGGAAAATGAGCTGGGGATCTTGGGGACTACAGATCCAACAATGACCCCAACACAATCAAATCTGTGGAATTGCATGGAAAATTCTCATCCCTGCACATTGTGTCAACACGTGGATATTCGACGACTGGGGAATTCGCTCATAATTAAGATGAGGTGTAACGTACAATACGTTGAGGAGGACGAAGGCATAGTTGAGCTCAAACTTCTTTAGTTACATGACCAACAAATACACAAAACATGAAATGTGGTGAGTGGAGTACCTGCTCAACCCCAGGACGTTTCCTACGAGCGGCATTCTCCTGCTCGTGGTTGTCCCAACAAAGACCATCCCAATACCGGACTCGTCCTCCTTCACTGTCTAGATGTGAGCATACTAAGTATATATATACAGTTTTTGACAACAATGGACAGGCAACGACTCATCAATGGACAGACAGAAAAACAATAGCACTTCCTTGACCAGTTGATGTGATGGCAGACACGGCCAAGCGGGATGACCAATGAAGGTTATAAATGTCTTATACAATAATTAATGGGCTGACAAGTCAATGTACAATGCGGTAGTGATAAGGATGTACAGTAGTGATTAAGAATACAGGTTAGCATCATATAAATTATTACAATAAAGTCTCACATATCTGGACTACATAGGTTTGGGACTTTTTAAATATTTGGACGATGACTGTCCTGAATTAGTCACTATAACAACTGGATGACATCAACTGAGTTCACAATGAAACAATTTTTTTGAGTGCAAACAATGGTAATGGTTTAACCTGTAGTGTCCTTGACTAACTTTGATTTTCAACAAGTCTGATCTTTTTACTTGAACACTTACCTCTACTTTCATGAGAAAGGCTCATTTGAAGTTTCTCCAAAAAATCTGAAATGTAATTATTATAATATTAATGTTCATCTGATATGAAAATATTCATGGCATTGTCATTGTTCTCATACATATATGTCAAGATTTACCCAACCCCAACATCTGTTTCTTGAAATTTCTATGTTGAAGACCCGCTTGCATATTTCAATGTAATAATTGATTTTGACTTGAAAATTTGGAGTCAACATACACATTAGTCCATGGTAACTTTTCACGATTTGAAAATCCTCTTGCCACCTTAATTGAGCTCTTGGTGTCCGAATTGAAGAACAAAGGATATAGTAATAGGCCTTTGAGCCTTTATTAATTGAAAGTAACAATCGAGTAATTGGTGTATTTCCTGCAGCAAATTTTTTTCTTATAGACTGACTGACTGACTGAGTTTGGTTTTACGCCGCTTTTAGCAATATTCCAGCAACATCACGGCGGGGGACACCAGAAATGGGCTTCACACATTGTACCCATGTGGGGATTCGAACCCGGGTCTTCGGCGTGACGAGCCAACGCTTTAACCATTAGGCTACCCCACCGCCCCTTTTCTTATAGAACTGATGGCACCATAGTGTTCTAAAAAAGATACATTTAATTGATACCTTTCATTAAAATCGACCAAAGACGGATAACTGCCATTTTCATCAACAAGATCACAAATTTGAGAGATACCCCTTTGGAACCACCCTTCATTAAAAATAGTTTTCTTAGCAATAACAATATTGCTATTATAAAATATATGATCAGACAAGAAATCTTCAAAATTATCAGGTTTAATTTTACTTGAAAAATCATAAAAGTATTGAAACAATCAATCCAGAAGAGATTTTTCAGATTTCTGACAATTTTTTTCAAAAATTCTTTGCCATGCTTATCAACTTCACTACTTTTACAATAACTAGCATTTATAATATATTTCCACTTGGGATCTTTAGTAACTAGTTTTCTCATCCAAATCACCTTCAAATCTAAATTGACGTATGCAATTATATTAATCATACCCAATCCACCCTCCTTAACTGGTCTACATATTGTTTCTCTCTTTATTCTGTCAGGATTCCATACAAAATTAAATAACATTTTGTTAAGTTCCTTAAGAAAAACACCAGGAGGATTAGGTACAGTCAGAAAAAGATAATTAAGTTTAGAGATAAGTGACGAATTGATTAAAGTAATCTTTCCAAGTGGGGTTAGGATTCTGTTTATCTACTTATTCATCAACTGTTTTAATTCAAAAGGTTTTGAGCTAAAATTGACCTGAACAATATCTGAAATATTTGTGCTAAGAGTAACACCTAAAACCTTGAATGTTGAGGGGTTCTATTGCAGATTTAAATGAGATAAATATCTTTTTGCACTGTTTTACATACTGCCAATCCTTATCACCTGGGATTTATCATAATTAATCTTCAAACCTGACATACTAGCAAAGATATCTAGTGATTCAATAACAACTTCGAGGGAACGTTTGCTCCCGTCAAGAAGGAAATCCGTATTATCTGCATACTGTGAAATTAAATACTCTGTATTGCTTACACGTATGCCTTTCATATCCTTGTTTTTACGCACCATACCTGCCAATATTTTCACACACAGCAAAAATATATACGGCGACAAGGGGTCTCCCTGCCTACAGCCCTGACTGGAACTGTATTTTCCTAAAATCGTTTAAATCAAGACAAGACACCAAATTGAGATGGTTCCAGTACAAGATACTCCATAGAATTTTAACTACCAATACATTTCTAAAAAAATTAAAATAAAAGATTCTGACTTATGTTCATTCTGTAATGAAGAAAAGGAATCTATTTCTCCCTTATTATGGGAATGGGAATTTGTGCAAACCTTTTGGTCAAAATTTTATCATGGTTAACAGAAGGTTGTGACCACATCCATAATCTCAAACTCACTATGGAATTGATAATTTTGGGCTGTAAGGAAAATGTTTTTACTGACTCTGTTTTTGACTTGTTCATATTATTGGGAAAATATTACTTGTACAAATGCAAGCTCAATTCTGTTTTACCAAATATTGCTCACTTCAGAAGTAAGTTGAGATTGAGATATAGTATTGAAAAACGTATTTCAAAAGCTGTAACGCGGAATTTTATTCTAAAAGGCTCTTATATCACGGCTTATTTAAAGATGACTGAATTAATTATATTCTTAATATGTTTGATAAATAAAAATAATTTTGTATTTGTGTGAATGGCGAGTGAATGGATTGTCTTGTTGCGTAAAATATTTCACCTGTATCCCATTAAATTACTGTATATCTTCAGACTGAGCTGTCCCCTGGCTGCTTACACAAGAAAAAAATGGTGATTTCCCAAAATTTCCAATTTGGAAATATCATATTTCCAAAAATTTCCAAAATTGGAAAGATGATATTTCCAAGGCTTGGAAATTTTTGGAAATTTAGGAAGGATTTTACCACTTCTTCTTTCAACTTCTCCTTTTTCCCAAGGATCCCCGGCCCATGAGTGTATAGACTGAACTATTTCACAAATCTTCTGATCTGTTAGAGTTCTTATTATTGATATACATAATGTATCTTGCATGTGACATATTTTTTCATGAAAACTGCAGGAATAAGCCATATTTTCATATTATCCCTTTGTGCTTAATATCAATGCAACTGCGTCTCACGCATGAAGTGATAAATTTTTTAAAGTTGGGATTATGTTTAGAGTAAGTGTTTACTATTCGCCGTCCTATGCGACCAACTAGGAACCAATTCTATATATTAGTTTAACTTCACTCATCTGCATTCTTCTTGTTCTATGCCCCACATGGGCACAATGTGTGAAGCCCATTTCTGGTGTCCCCCGCCGTGATGTTGCTGGAATATTGCTAAAAGCGGCGTAAAACCAAACTCAGTCAGTCAGTCAGTCAGTCTTGTTCTATGTGTCAAAAATTGATATTGACTGTTCTATTTACCGCTAGTATGGCGAGCATTTTCAAAAGTCAGTTTCAAGTGTATGTTTTAGTTGTTATCCACAAAAGCGCAAATATGTTTAATTTTTTTCCCTTCTCAATATTCGTATGAATACAAATTCCATACACCTACGGTATATGGACTATATAACAGTGTACCAGATATACTGATTGACTGAGTGTATTACATGCCATAAAAGTGAACCCGTGCCATGGGGTAATGGGGTATTCCTGTGAAGTAGGATTTTGTTATTACAGTATAATCTCGTTCATGTTAAGCCGTGTTGTTATATCGGGATTAAGACACTGGGTGCTATAAAATTCTGAACTTGTTTTGAAATATGATCGCATTTACTGAGTTAATTTACTGAGTTTAGCTCACTGAGATTATAATGATACTGATTCGTGTGTTCACTCAACGTCTACGGGGATGATACTTACTATCGTCTTGCCAATGTTATTGATTAATCTACTAATATCTAACAAAGTGCTAGAGTTTTGGGTGACCTTCGTAGGGTCAGTAATAAGTTGAAATAGGTCATACATGATTTGAACATTATGTATCTTATTATTACTTGGGGTGTTGGCATGGCAGATTTAAGAAGATCGTTGAAAAGGCCCTCCAAATGATAGTTGAGATATATTTCACATGATATGATTCATCTTGTGATGATTAATTGTGGCAACACCAAATATATTATGTCATGAAAATGTCGCTGTGGTGACAATTATATACGTTTGAAAATGTTAAAACCTGCAATGAGAACAAGACACCACGCCAAAAGCAACTCCATGCTTGTTTGATAGGTATTCTTGTCGATGCATAGAGAAGGGTTCTCATATTCATTCTTGTATCTTGAGATAAAGGGTAGGTTAGACATTTGGTTCAAGGTAAAAATCGTTTGATGTTTGATGTTTTGACAACGGTGTTGTTTTAAGGGATTCTACAAGATGAAAAAACATGTTCACTCAAGGAAAGAAATAAGACATGTATACCAGACTACCAGTATGAGATTGAATCCATGTTAGTAAGTTCACACAGTCACTTTGATTTATAAATTAGTTAACTCAATTCATAAGTTGTGAGTTATTCATTTTCTTGCAGAAACTTGCTATAAGAATTTTGGAAATGAAAGTTTTCACCATTATTTCCACAAATTCAGTTATGGTAAACGCACAGTTAGACTAGAAGTTTCTTCCTACTTTTCGTGGTTGAAGATATCTATGTGTAAATGGTTATCGGTATATGTTCATTCTGAACAAGGGAGCAGGAGAGAATGGATCTCATGGAGATGCAGTCAGAAAGACTGCAGAGCAACAGTCTCAACATTGAACGACATAATGTCTAAAATTCCTGGAGACCACAACCACGGACCAGTACACAATGAAGTCAAGGAAAATCAAATCTCAAATAGAAAAATAAAGCGATTAAAGAAAACGTGCAAAATCGGAGTTCAAACGATTCAGTAATTTTTCCCCAGCGCTTGGGGGAAAAGTGGTTTCAACAGCTGGGCTGCGCTGGGCTGCGCTCATAGCACATGTGCAGTGAATACTCGGTGAAGGCTTTGGTGTGAGCTATTTTTTTTAATGTTTTGTTGATATTTCACAGGCGCGAGCTTTTTATATGTTTTTTTTAACAGTAGATTACAGATTTAACTGTTTATATAATTTTATTTGTCTATTTCAACACTTCTTACCGACTCACTTTTTCAGTTCGATACTTAAAAGCAATGTCATTATTTAGCGTTGACAGGATATCTAACTGTGACACAGACAAAACTCAGTGTCTGTTTTCTTGATACCTATGTGTCTGCCTGCCTGTCTGCTAATGACAATATTCAATACACAACTTCGATCACTGACCACATGCAATTTAAACTTAACACCTATCAGGTTATACACCATAACAAAACGCATTGATTTATGGCCCGAGTTCGGTCTCTGTCACATTATGTAATTACACAGACAGGCAGGTGTGATACTTGTACACATGACATGTTATATGTCTGTTGATTGCAAATTGTTATACACAAGAAAATGAACACGTATTTACGGTTCATTGCCGGGAAG